ATAAAATTTTGTTTTCATAAACTTTTTTTCTTTTTTCATCAGACTATCTCTCTATGTTTTTGCGATTCCGTGGAGTGACTTAGGTTTTCAAACCCAGGTTGTTTCAATGTGTGTTTGTACACCGTTTCCTTTATATATGGGATCGGATTTCTTACATTTTCATATATAAAACAAATATCCACTTTTTTTTTTTGGCAGATAGTATTTTTTGACTCTTATACACTTTTTTTTTTATTTATACATTTGAATGCTTTAAAAATTCCATTTACAAGACAATTGTTTATAATAAAATTCTAATTCTATTCAATCCAGGGGACTCATCATAACTATATTGAAAACAATGTTTTTGTTTGAGTTTGACCAATTCGTAAAAAAAAAAACTAAGACATAAGCGTTCCGTCAACCTAAACAATTGTCTAACGATCTCTACTCGATTGTACGAATTAAAAAGCGGATAATTCTTTATCTTTAGGGAAAGATAATTCCACGTACTTTAGGGCCGTTTTCCATTTGCAATTTGTTACAAGGCAGATCAATAAGGCATTGGTTCTATTTGAAATTAATTCAATATTTAAAAATTTCAAAGTATTAAGAAATAATTTAAAAATTCCGACGTAAAAATCTGATCAGACAAAAAAAACAACAATATTTCTGAAGATGATAATTATTAAGAAAAGAACACAGTACTTGTAATAAATTAATAAACCCAAATTAATGTTAATATTTTTGTATTAGAAAACAACGAGTTTTGAAAACCCTATATTAAAATCAGAATTCTAATTATGAATCACCACAAAGCAAAATATGCAATTTTTTTACTGTATTCAATAAGGTAAAATCATAAATTGTAAAAAAATTACAAAAAGGCTACCTACATTTTTGCAACCGATTTTAACAAAACTTCTTTTTTTTGGCAGGTAGTGTTTCTTATTGTCTTGAACATTTTTTTTTTTTTTATTTTTACATTCAGAATGCTTTAAAATTCCATTTACAAGACAATTGTTTATAATAAAATTCTATTCACCAATCGATAGACTCATAACGATTGTAAACAATGTTTTTATTTGAATTTGGGTTTGACCAATTGTAAATAAAAAAAAAAAAAACTAATTAAGACATGCGTGTCCGTCAACCTTTAAACAATAATCTTTATCAATTTTATTTTTTTAGTCTTTATGATGTTCAATACTTGATCTATCTCTTACTGTTACATCCCCAAGCAACGCCGAGCTGCTACTGCTAGTATAAAAATATATATAAATATATATATATATATATATATATATATATATATATATATATATATATATATCATAAAACTCATTTGGTTTTTCAAACACTTAAATTATTATGCGTAGGCGCCGGATGTAAAAAACTGAATATACCTTTCATTTATTCAAAATCAATATTAAAAGCAGGAAGCAAAAATGGAACAACGAACAGGACGTGGCTCACACAATTTCAAAGATTCTATTTAATAAAGAAAGACAGTTCACGTCTCAACGTATATACTTCCTGATAGAATCCCTGATTCTTTAAAAACTGTTACAGAATTCCGTTTATGGAAAAAAAATTGTCCAGATGAAAAAACCGATTATAAAAACAAAACAAAACAAAAAACAAAAAAACAAAAAACAAAAAACAAAAAACAAAACAAAACAAAAAAAAAAACAAAACAAAAAAAAACAAAACAAAAATCAACTAAAAACGTCTTTTAAATAATCTAAATATCTTTGAATTAAATTTAGGTTTTACTTCAATTTCCCAAGGTCGTTTGTACTTTTTCTGTATGTCACCAATTGTCAAAAAAAATTTGTACCCCTTTGGTCATCCAGGTTCAATGATTTTTCACATAAATGTTATTGAGAACATTTGGAGAAAATCAATCGAAAGTTTCAAGACAGCATATTTGAATAACAATATGGCAAACCAACCTAATATCACGTTGAGCGATTTAGAAGATGGTTGAGAACCGGTGATGCCCGTCCACCCAAAAGTTGAAGCTTTTTTTTTTATGAAAGCTATTACCTCTATCTAGAGTCTCCTCTGCGACTTATATTAAGCTTTTCAATTTTTGATTCGTAGATATACTTTCCACTTAATTACAATATCAACTAAAAGAAACAAAGTAATGCAGAATTTTAAACGATTTTTAAATTATTATAAATTATTATAAATAATTATAAATAATTAAAAAAAGGAAGAAGATCTACATGGACCAAATTACAAAGGAGGCCAATCCAGACCCTGAGGCACTCAACGAACTCATGTTCGCCGAAGACCAAGCAATGATGAACAACGACAGGATGCAGCTGCAGAAACACACTGAACAACTAATCTTAATCTGCACGACATACAACATTAAGATTAGTGTCAGTAAGACTGACGTCATGACCGTCAGCAAGAGACCAGAAAAACTGGACATTAACATCAATGGGACCCAGCTAAAGCAAACCAGTGAATTCAAATATCTGGGCAGGATATTTACTGAAAATGGTAAACTAGACAGAGAAATCGAGACCAGATGTCAGAAAGCCAATGCTGTCAGTTAACAACTTCATCCTCTTCTAAAAATCCTAGAATTTCCATGAGCACCAAGGAAAATCTCATCAACACCATTTTCCTACCAAGGCTGACATAAACAGTGCCAGACATGGCCCCAAACATAAAAAAACCCTTAAGAGAAAACTGATCACTTGTCAGATGAAATGCCTGAGGAAAGAAGTAAACAAGACCAGCCGCGACAAGATCAGGAATGAGACAATAAGAGGAGGAGCAATAACAAACATATAAAACATCGAACGACAGAGGATAAAGTGGTTCGAGCACCTCACACGTATGCCTATCAACCAACCAGCACTATGAGCATGCACCCTCAGGTACTCTGGCTGGAGAGCGAGAGTCAGACCAAGAAGACGCTGGAGCGACTCAGTGGCAGACACTCTCAGAGCCCACGCGATATCTCTCCTCCAGGTTACTCGCTGACAGACGACTGTGTCTCCCCTCGACGTCTGGCAGCACAAGCGGAAGGAAAAACTAAACTATAAATTATTATAATTAAAATTTAAAAAATGAAAACAATTCTTGTAAAAATTCATGATTCATTGAAGAAATATTTTTCTTACGACAATATGTCCATAATATATTTTATTCATAATATCAATTAAAGCCAAAAAAAAAAAAAAAAAATTAAATAAAATTATGACATTATTGGATTTGATAATCCAATAATGTCATAATTTTCTTTTATAATTTATTCTATGATTCAGAGCAGATTTTCTGTAATTCCGAGCTCAGTTTAATAAAAAAAAGTTGATGATTTAAATTCTCGAAGGACATGTCTGTAGAACTCATATAAAAATTAATCCCTACAAAAAATTTCATTTCTCGAAATTTCATTTTCTTAAATGAGTTTTACGGTAACAGAAAGCAAACTGTGTTGTTCACTATTTCAATAACTGAGGATGATGCATTTTAAAGTTTGTTTGCATTAATTAAAATGGATGCTGCAACATGCTGCAATAATAGAGAATATTAATTTTTGCCAGGTCGTCAAGACTGTAATGCAGTTATAATTCGAAAATCTGACAGAAACGTATCGGAGAAGAATTACTAAATAGATATCGATCTGAAAACTGCAAGGTTTGATCCAAACAAAGTATACTTATAAATAAAGTATACTTATCTAAAAGGTGATGTAATGATTTTATTTTAAAAAATTGAGAAGGATAGATTTAAGGACAGTTTACGCAACTAAGTTACATACGATTCAAAATAAGGAAACTTATATATGAAAAAAATAAATAAAAGATTAAATAAATTTTTTTTTAAAAGTTAAAATTTGTTAAATGTTTTATTTATTGTGCTAATGGCATTCCATAGTTTTCCACATAAGCGTTTATTTCTTTGTTTATAGTTGTCTATAAATAATAAGAATAAATTGATTGAAACAAAACAAGTTCAGTTGACCACTGATGACAATTCCAGAACAACGTAACTATAAACAATTTTTTTCTAACCTCTGCCAGCCGCAATGATGGAGAAAGCATTACCTCGAACCATGGCCAGTGAGACACGCTGCAAGAGCCACTCCGTTTCGCGAGGCTCGTCCCTTAATCGAGACGCAATCGCGCCAATCCTCCGAAGGAACGCCATCGAACGAGGGCCAATAACCCCTGAAGTCTCCACTGCCACAGGAGTAAAAAAAAAAATATCAGCAAGAGAAGAATATTTAACTATTTTTTTTTATCTCTGCGTCCCGGGCGATGGATTCTGACTCAACCGCAGAACTGATCAAATTACCGACCGAAAATGTATCCGCACAGGTCGCATCCCAAATCAACGACTTCCCCATTTTAAAAGGGAAAATGGTAATGCCATTCGACCGATTTCCATCACCGCGGTCGAGGCCTACGGGTTCGATTTGGGAAGGGAACCCAGCTGCATCCAAACCTCTTCTGATGATGTCGTTAATGGCTTCATGCCGTGGAAAGCAGCCGGCACTACGACGACAGGAGAGAGGATGCAAACCAAACTCATCAATGGAAGCTCCGCATCTGCATCTGTGACGTTCACATAATTTGAGTCCAAGACGGACGGATCCCGACTCCGACTCGAGTGCACTCATCATCTAGAAGGGTACCGGTAGATGAAGAGGGCACTGCGTTGAGCCAGGCGCCACTACTTGTTTGTGAAGTAGATAGTAGACAGGCGAGGCGATGCTGATCCAGAGAGAGCCTCAAATTAGTAAAATTGGCCTCGCATTTTATTTTATCCCAGATTTTTTGTTTTGATATATCTAGTGGGAGATTACCCGAGAAACACTGGAAATTCACCGAGCGAAAACTGTTCTTCAAGAAGGAAAAGGGCTGGAAGTGCATCAATTAAAAGGTTATAATTTCTCAGTCATTCTTGTTATAATGACATGCTTAGTATCCAAACACTCTGGAATGGCCATTGGAAAGACTGGAGAACCAAGAATATGTAATTCCTCCTTGGTGTTATTTTAATTTCCTCATTCTTGAGTCTAATATCCTTAGATAACACCATCCATCGAAATCATCTGCAGTATAATTCAAGTTTATTATCTCTGACTTGGACGAGTTAATCTCAAGTTCAAGCAGAGATAAAGCAGGAATAACTCGTCGGAGGTCAGCAGCTACGGCCTCGATGGGTCCTCCTAACGTTGCATCGTCAAGATACCATATATTGAAAAGAGAAGCAATGGAACGAGCTACCCCGTCAATAGCCATCGCAAACAGTAGCGGACCAAGTGGATCACCTTGCTGGATTACAGTAGCAGAAGAGATAATATTATGAGAGGCGATCAACATACTTGGATGACTATACGAAAGATGAGCTAGTTTAAATATGGAAGGAGTCCGTTGATGGCAAACTTCCAGGGCATGATCCCTTCTGATGCTATTGAAAGCGTTTTTCATATCCAATTTTAATAAGATACGTGGGGGCGCATGTGATGTATTCTCGAAAAATGATCTTGTGGCATGAACCGCGGCTTCACATCCGCCCTGTATGCCTACCCCGAGCTGGACAGGTCGCAATTCATGCCCTGTCTCCTTCATAACAACTCTACAAGCAATTTTTGCCGCGAGACGACGAAAAATATTACCAACAGCGATAGGGCGGATACCTCCGTCTTTTCTTTTTAAAGCCGTTAAGTTGGCTGAAAATATTAAGTCGCGAGCATGTTGGGGTATCTCAGCTCGTAGAAGGGAATTAATAAGAGCTGTTATGGATATTTTCAAATGTTCACCAGCTTCGGCAGTGTGGGCAGAAATTAAGTCCTTGATGTGACCAGGTCGAAGGCCGTCTACACCTCCACTGCTGCTTCCCGAGAAAGACTTCAGAGCGGCAACCATTGCTCCCATTGAGATTTCAATATTTGAAACATTGTTTTCCATCTAAACAAATCTGACATCTGATGGTGGCGCAGGATGTTTCCGACGGAGAGCTGTGAGAACTTCTGGTGTAGTAGCTAGTATAGTATCGGATGAAGCCAATACTCTAACTGCAGCTGAGACATCGCCCTCGATCAACTTAGCATTGACGAGGGCACGGAGTCTCTTAAAATCGTCGACTGTAGATGAAGCGTGAAATCTATTAGGATTAGAAAGATTAGAAAATTCGGTGGCATTTATTTTAGACGAATTGAATAAAGAAATGTTATTTTTCATAATAGATGAAACAGATGATGTAGGGTCCTTATTGTAAGGAATGCCAAGCACAAGTGTTGCGAAAGAGAAAGGTGATCCCAGTCAAGCGAGCTGTTCAAGTTAAGTGCCGGGATTCTAACAGATTTAGGGATTTTTAAAGTCACCCTCCGGAATTGTCTAAGGAGAGAAGTTGCCCTCTAAACTTCACTGGCATCCTTCTGGGTCGCTTCATTATGTTGATGTATCACACTATCTTGTAGAGCCGAGAGAGACAGACAATGTGAACAACTCCAAACAACCAGAGACGCTGAAGCATTTCTAGTCAATCCCACGCAAGATAAATGAAAAGACCGTTGACAATTTGAACAAATTCTTATTCTTTTACCCATATTAATGCTACCACAAGAAAAGCAACGATCACATTCCAGCAAAGAAGGGAGAGACATTTTCCTTCTCTCCTTATTCCTAAAATTAATGTAAAACGTTTTTCTGTTGATTCTTGTAATCTCCGTTTGACATTAATTTCATTTTTTCCTTTCAAATCAAATCTTCGAAAAAATACTGTCTTGAATTACAATTCCTTTTTACAATAATGTTTAAAGTTTTGAGCTATTCATTATTAATTCACTAATGATTATTCCATTTACTATTCAAATTCGTATTTACCTTACTTAATGCTTAATCCGACATTTTTACATACTTTTACATGAAGAAATTTTGAAAAAACAAACAAAAATCCTTAAATGTAGTTAAAATGAAAGAAATGTCGACGTCTGACGTTTCGGTTTAATAAACCTTTTTCAAGACAATATTCATCAAAATACAATTCAGTTCAATATGACAAATACGATGGACATAAAAACACAAGTCTTATTCAGAACAGATAACTGAAAATTTTTAAAATGATCAGCCTTCCGTCTAACATGGTCACGCCGTCGTCACATGGGCGACGCTTTCATAACGTATTCCTAAAATATTGTCTTGAAAAAGGTTTATTAAACCGAAACGTCAGACGTCGATATTTCTTTCATTTTAACTACATTTAAGGATTTTTGTTTGTTTTTTCAAAATTTCTTCATTCTGTCGGATTTATATCCATTTACACTTGCTTATATACTTTTACATAAAATCCGTTGAAATCAGCAGAGCTTTGAAACATATCTTCTCTCTTCGAATTCCATTTTGTCCATTCAATTAATAACAATGTGGTTACTTAAAGTCATTTGTGTCCCCACCCAACCATATATATGTAAATTAAATATAATTCAAGTATTCATGATGTTGATGACTTAAAAACTTATGATTCAATCAATATATAAATGCTATCGTTGAATTTAAAAAAAAAACAAACAAACAATTATTTAATTTTAGTTATTGTCATTGAATTCATAGCAATACTATTTTAATTCAGAGTGTATTATCTTGAATATTTTTGTAATGGTTTGTTGTCGATGCTAAAGATATCTTTTTTCTATAACCGCAGTTTCTCTCACCATATCAGATATTCTCTACATTCAGGAGGAAGTGTGGGAAATATACCAGTGATTATTTTCTTCACCAATTTTATTTAATTTATATTTGTCAAGTGAAATAAACATTATCGGATATAATCGTTAATATTATTAAATTAAACCATCTTCAACAAAAACATTCCTGCGCAATCATCAAATTGGTAGAAGGACAAATACATTTAAGAAAAAAATAATCAGATATGAAATGAAAACAAAATGGCGAAGTTATAAGAAACAATTTTTATTTTATTTTGTAACAATCATTTAAAAATATATATATATATATAACTAAAAAATAATAGTTGATAAATGTACATATCAAATTGCTTTTCGACATATATATGATACAGATTATATATACACTGTATAAGTGTGTGTGTCTGTGTGAGCCTGTGCGCGTGCGTGAGTGTGGGATGTGCATGGACGTGTGGTGTACATTATTTCTTTATGAAAACTATATAACTGACTGACTGTATAAAGGCCAACTGAACGTCCCATATTGAATTGAAATAAACATACATTAAAACCAATGACAGGTTAATAGATAAAGACTGGTAGAATATAGATTAACAAATCTGGAATAATATATTTTTGCAAATGACTATATAATAGTCAACTGACATTTTTCCATATTAAAATGAAATTATATAACACGGCTGTCTATACTGGCAGATGAACAAAAGATTTTGAAATGTCTATTATTTTTACGTATCATATTCATTGTTGGATTGATTCTTGATGATCTTATGAGCACACACACAACCTGTTTGGATACGTTTTGTTATCGGTTCATAGACAAACAGTCCATCCACACAGACAGACGTACGTTGAAGGAAGAACATTTCACTGTAAACACGTTCACAGTTGTGCATTCCGTCAGATCCAATACAGTCTGAACAACGACACACGGCTTCTGATCGAACTGATGGGAACAGTGTAGAATCTGTGATGATCTTCGTGTACCAAGGGCAAGTGGATCGATCCTGGGTGTCGCCGCTGGTCGGTAATGTTTTTGGACATGTTGTTTCTCCGCGATGCAAGGTTTGGTTAGAAGATGAGGAAATATATTCAGCCGGCAACATAAATTTATTTCCAATTGATGCTTCGGCCAATCTTTCATAGTGGATATTCAGATCAGACGGAATTTTACAGGTGCTGGACAGTGGTGCTCCTGAGGCAAACACCATTCCACAAAAGAAAGCGACAGAGAAAAGAATTACCTGTGAAAAAATAAAAAAAATAAAAATGATAATTTCAGTAAGGCTAATTAGATTTATGCGTATATCATAAATATTTTATCGATTAATAATAAATAACATTTTTCAATAAAATACTGCAGACTATATTTTTTCTCAAGTCTATGTTTTTATCCGTAATGTTAATCAGTCTGTTATAGATGGTGTTAAAACTAGAAAATATGACGAATAGTTACCAAACTTTCTGTTCCACACTTGGATTAATCAACTCAAATTTATCAGTGCTCTTCAATAATGAGGTCAAATCGGTTTTATCATACGGATAAGTAAATATAAATTATAAAAATATTTTTAAGGCACAAAAAAACTTTCTATCTTGTGAGTGAAAAAAATTATGCAAATAACACACATTACGCCTCATAAATATCAGGAAAAATACGTATAGCCCAAACAATAATTCACTTATATGCTAAAATGGAATGATGAAAACAAATTTATTAAAAAGTCAAAGAAATAAAAAGAGTTGCTGTAAACTAAAATTTGTTTGATTCATTACCATGCGAAGAAAAAATGAATATGTAAAACGAAAAAAAGAGGAAAAAAATAGGCTTTTCATTTTCTTACAATAATTATCCCTGACCAGAAACAAATTACAAATTTATATAATTTCTTCAGAGATGAAGTTGTATATTTTGCATGGAGAATATGTCTAAAAAATGTGAATTATAATGATTTTGCAAATAACATATTTTTGAATAATTATAGAGTGTAAAAATCGTAATCAATGTTTGTTTGAAAGAAATTAAACTATGGCATAAATCACTTCGATTTTTATGTTAATTTTGTTCAAATTACATTAGCTGAGTAAATGAAAGCATTGATCATAACAATGAACTAGCAAGCTAAAAATGTAAAACAGGGGAGATAACTACGTTATTTTCTATATTTTGAGAAAAGTTTAAAAATTTGACTTTGTCCGGTCATGTTGAAATTGATAGGATTGGTTTAGGAAATAAGTGATCAAAATACGTTAACAACGAATTGACGATTGAAGAAACGATGTTGACAGGGATGTAGTACTGGTATGAATGTTGACTTGAAATATAGCTTAATATATAGATCACCAAGGTATATGTAGCATGATTCTTACGCTGAAGGAAACCCAAGTTACTCAATTAATCAACGACAAGATTTAGGATGTTTATTTTATGACGGAAGAAGTTCACGGACTTAATGAAAATACTGGATTTTTCATTAGGTTTTAAAATAGCAGGAAGCTGTAGATGCAAAAATTAACTTTACTCAAATCATTTAATTATTTCTTTACAGCATAAAAATAAACGGAAGTTACAATATATATTTAAAATATCTTGATGTCACAAGGAAACGTTTAGATCGACCAGACAATAAATGAAAAAAAAACAAAAAAACATGGTCATGACAAATCCGTGAAACACAAACGGTATTATTTTGCTGGAGAATTTTGATTTGAGTAAAACATTTGTTGGAAAAAAATATGTTATTTCAATATTCCTAGTTATCAACACGCGCGTGAGACATCCACGCATATATATGTTTCGTACGCTGATAGAAAATTTTAGTCAACCAATGTGAACACACACATATATATACAAAAAAAATTATACAAAAATTTGGTAAAATATCTTCGTCTATGTGCCGCATGGCTTTAGGATATTGGCGATCATTGCTCCCCACAATTTTTTGTCTTTTTTACCTGTTAATAAATTTGGTGTTTTTTCTATATCTCCTAAACCTTGCTCCAAAACTATGAAAAAACGTAAAAAATTAATAATATCACAGTTTTATCCTCAAAATCTTTAGGTTATTATTCAGGTGGGCAACAGAGGATTTTTTGATTATTATATTATATTTTTTAATCTTTGTAGAAGCTTAGAAATTTTGTTTAAAGTTTGGATATTCTTGAAAAAAAAATCAGATAATTTTAATGAATAAAATTATTTTACAAACATTTCTTTTTCAAAATTCT